ATAGACAAACAGATTCACGGGGTATAACTGATGGTGATGACAACAATATTGTATCACAGCACAAATGGGCGACAATATTCCGTCATTAGCCAGAACGTTAGCAATCCTACTAGTCATCATACATGCGGCATCTGACAAGAACGTTAGCCGGTTAGACGTATCTTCACATAGTAAGATATTGGACAAGTCTTTGTTGTTGTTTTTTCATGGGTGCAAGTCGGGGTATGTCATCGGAAGGACGCACTTTAGGGAGAGGAAGCAGGAAGCTTATAATCAAGTGACAGGTCCTACCTGGGAGTAAGGAGGGACCGAGATGATGAGGAAGTGCAAAGACTTGAAAATTGTAGAGATCAGCAGGTAGGGGACAGCTAAACGAGGGAGGGCGGATGAGCACTGCTGACGGATGGAGGAGATTGGATGTATGAACGGGAGGTGTCCTGTTGTTTTTCTGGAATTTTCGTTCGCTATTTTGCACGACAGAGCACGTCTGCAGAACGTACTGCACCTGCACGAAACCCGTAATGTATTATACATCGCACTTCGGCAGAACGTCTCATATATAAGGTCGTATTAGCGTGTATAAGGTTAACATCCTGTCTGCAGTTTCCAAATGTTGTGTCGGAAAAAATATCGTTTGCAACAGGTAAAATTCTGATGCAACGGTGAGCAAAAATCCAACGAAAACCGTGAAAAGCCATGGTTTCACGTAGGCGCAGTACGTTCTGTGGGCGTGCCATTTTCACGACAGCATGCAAGAGCTCACGTAGCTTCTTGAAGGGAAAGACCCGAACTATAACGTAAGTAGGATGAACACGAGGAAAGGACGAACGAAAAGATACCAGATGTTTCCAATGGCAAGTACTGGGACGGTAAGGCTCGTCATTTACTTTAGATACAAGGAAGACCAGCGACGAGCGGTGGAAGTTGTTGACCGCGGTTCATTTGCACTGACGCCCCACCATCCTGCCTTAGCTTCAGGGTTGTTTCTACGAGAGGCACCGCGTATACTGCCGCATCTTTCTGGGCTGTTGTTTAACTTCATATCCGCATTAAAAAATAGGCTGACAGCGATATAATCATAGAATTCGCGTATTAAGTTCTCCTCAAACTCATAGGACCCATAATTGAAGAATTTTATCGATAGTATCGATAGCAACCCGGATTGAGTACAACCGGCACTTCATTTGGACATTACTGTGTGAAGTACTTGTGGTAGTAATTTTTCTTCGTTTTTTCCCTTGATTTCCTGGAGAACTTAAAGTCCATTTGTCTGGAAACGTTTTTGCCAATTTTTCTGGTTATCTTGGCCTTCCTGTTTATTTGTTTTGTTGAAATTGAGCTCACAATAAGTACTGTAGTCATGGTCGAAATTATTTGCGACGTCATTCAGATTAGAGTACTTACGTTTTGTCTCATTATCTCCATAAAATTGCAAGATGCATCACGATGACCTTCAAGCAACTGGTAAACAGGTCTTTGATATAAAAAGATAGGTACGGCGTACCGCACGCAATTTTGACATACGTACGTCAGCTGCAGTGAAGTTATCTACTGGATATTGAGTCTAAGGGTATGGTTTAGCCAGCATGGTGCACAAGAGCTTGTTGATTGGCTGCTGCGATGACTTACTCATGGTCGTGATGAGGTCTTCTCTGACTGTGTTTGGTTTTATCCTGCTCGGTCGGGCCATCGGCATCTTTGTTTGTATGTTTCTTTCTGCCCGATCGCCTGCTTCGCTTGCTTTTGCTTGGCTGTGTATCGGAATTAGCGTCTCCCTCTGCATGCAAATGCGCGTGCCCGTCCGCCTGTGCGTAGCCGTTTCTCTGCGTGTGGCCGTTGGCCTGCACGTGGGGTGCGTGTCCGTTCAGATACAGGATGGGGTTGATCTCGCCGCTGGTGTGGTCGTCATCACTCGTATGTATGACGCCGTTTGCTTGGGGCGTGGACTTGGAAGTTTCATCACGCGGCATGGCAACTGTTACGGTCATGTGGCCCTCACTGCCGACACAGACGTCCCCATCCGAGCACGGAGCAGGGCTATTCGGGGACGTGGTGTTGCCGCCTCCCTTCCCGTCAGCCTTCCCGTCTCCCTGCGTGTCCTTCTCCTCAGTGGGGCTAGTCTTGGGCGTGGACTTACCACTCCTCTTTCTACATATGGAACAATATTAATTGAGAAAAAAGCTGCTGAGGTCTACGCCCATTCGTGCTCTACTTTTACAGTCCAGCAACATGGCAAATGTACTCCTCGCGTATTCATGACACCCACGTTACACGACAACGAGCAAATCAACAATGACGTCACATCAAAGAACAATGATGTCAACATCCACGAGATCGCACGGGACAATGACTCATGGGATTGCACTCAAACTTCAGTCAGTGGTCTCAGCATCGAGAAGGGTTCCATTCCATGGAAGCCTGTTCCAGAATATCGCAGCCACGCAGGAGTCTGTTGCCCTAAAATTTTTTTTCATTTTTGTTTCAGCGCAGCAAGTATAAAAAAAGCCATACTCTTTGATAGCTAAGTAAATGACAGTAAGAGAGATAGAAAGCGAAAGAGAGAGAGAACCCCAGGTAGGTTCTCACGGCAACATATAGCAGAGATTCCTGTATGGCAGATTCTGGAACAGCTTCAGGGTTCTGGGATGCATGAGTGCAGGGCGCAATGGTAGACTGTTGGGAAGCCGATCTGCAGTGGTTCAGGTAGGTAAAGGAGCATGCACGAGAGTTGAAGATGCCGGATCGGAAAATGTGATGAATGATTATTTTCATGTATGTATGTCTGTCTGTTTGTTTGTTTGTTTGAATATTTGTTTGTTTGTTTATCTGATAGTTCTCCGAAGCAATGTTAGGCGTCTCAGATGGGCCGTTTGAGGTGAATGTGGTTTGGAATAGATTGCCAAATTTTGCAATGTTAAAATGTTATGTTAATATTGAATATCAACATAACGGATTGTACCCCTTGCATTCGTCAAGTATGTTCCATTACGTTACGTTATATTCCGTTTCTTATATCTTTCAGGAAGCCAGCTTAAATCAGACTCTGGCACTGTCATCTTCATTCAGTTAACGAATGACTTGTTTTGATGGATACTTTTCAACAGGACACATGATGAAGACAAACAAAGGGGCACAACGGTTTGTTCGTAAAGGGAAGAAGATACAGGGCAGATACAACAGCAAGACACGTCCTCATGTCATCGAGGAGGCAGAGACAAAGAAACGTCTACAAAATATCTTGAAAATTTATTTACATATTGATATTCATTAAATAAACCGCATTGGGTAGGAAATCAATTGGCAGTCCATGTTCATGATGTTTTTCCATATTGATGATTTAAAGGAAAATTATTAGAATCAGCCACTTGTTTGTGGGTATATTTATGTTTTTTCCGTCAAGGACAGCCAAAGCCTGATGATTGTACGCTGAATGGTGGCTTCAGTATATGATATCAGTTACTTCTCAATCTCTACCTTATAGGATTCGTAAGACACTGGGCAATGTGGTCAACCATTGACCACCTGACATGCTGGCCAGAGAATGCTATATGTTTTTTTTTTCATGCTTTCACGCTGTGATAAATGTCATCGCAGTCTTCAATATTTTTCGTGGGTACACAATAGAGTTTTATCATTTGTAGAGGTTATTTCTTTACATGTACAAAATTCGGGCATAGTTCTAGAGACGCTTTGTCGCTGCTTTGCAGTTCCTTTCTTACTCAGTACAGTGTCAGTACAGATGAAGAAGCCAGAGAGTGAACAGCAGTACACGGAAGGCACGTTATGCACACACGGGGTGTTGGAGGGATGGAGGGGAGAGGACATGAAAAGGAAAGGAATTATACAGCATGCGCTGATGTACTTCTTGAATCCGTACAGTCATGCCAGAATAGTCCTCCTTCAGATGTTTTTCTATAGAAATCAGCTAGGAAACCAATTTTGCGTAATTGCACATTTTCCCTTCTGCATCTGCAAATGGTACTTGTATGTTAAAGCTTTTTTCAGTGGGGCTGTTTGGAACGGATCATTGTCCAACCGAAATTCCTTCCAAAATCCCGCGCACGCGCCAGGATACAGCTTAGTATATATTCTAGCCTAGCAGAAGTCATCCCGGAGAAGACCTTTTGTGAGCTGCTGGTCTGTCCGGTGATCGCAGGTGAAACTTTTATTGATCCCCAGAATCAAGTCACAACCTTACAGGCAACATTAGATGGCAGTAACGACGGGAAGCCCTTGTTGGAGCGCCAGCTGCGCGCTCTCGGCTGTAACATGTTCCGGAAATGATGTAACTGAGGAGTGTCTGATTCAGACAGTACGGTCCACATGTGACGAGCAGTAGCGCCACCTACCGGCGTCCATTGGCGCGCCAACAGCTGCAGAGAGGTTTTCCACAGCACAGCCCAAAGTTCTCATCCTTAAGTCTTTTGGACAGGTTATGGGCCATGTCCTTCGTGATTTCAGACAGAGCCATTGCAGGTCGCACGAAATTTTGGAAGCCTCGCGGGCCCAAGTGCTCAGTTTGTTCATGCTTTTTAATGAGTTCAAGCATGGTTAACGCCGCCCGGTCCCGCTCAAACTTGAGCTGCGTCCGCCTCCAGGACCACCGCCCTCTTGCGGTCTAGAATAGGTGCATAGGAAATCGGAAGGTTTTCGGGATTGAGTAGCTAATCCAGGAATTGCGAGTATTGCATTCACCACGACACGAGCCGAACTTTAAGATATGACAGTTACAACAGGACCATGCATGAGTATAAGTCCTTTCCCGGGTGGGAGAGGAGAGAAAGCTCTATGGGAGGCAAGCGTCGTGAATTTGCTCAGAGGCGAAAGGGAGAGGGAGTAGTGACGTAGTGACGTGTGTAATTGGAAGGGAATGCGTCAGGCATAGCGAAGAGGATAAACAGTGACAAGTGACGAACAACCGATGCACTTGAACAATAATAGTTGTTTCTTGTAACAAAGACACCGTGAGCATGAACACTTTCATGTCATGTATACCTCAACAAGCCACCTTAGCTTGAAACACACCCATACAAAAACGGTGCTACTTACCCTCTGCGGACTGCACTCCTTTAAAAAGGCCACATGATGGAGAAGAAAAGACGTTAACGTACTAAGAAGGGATGGGTGTACGGTAGGTGCGACTTGCATGCACGTGTGATGATGTAGCATTCATGCGTTCACGTTCACAACTTGTACACTCACAGAAAGGCGACCGAAGACACCCTAGGTACCCTTGCTAGTCAAATCAGTCGCATATGTTTGTAGAAAAAACTAATTTAGCAAAGTAATATGTAGCTTTCCAAATGACGCCTGTTTCAGTTCGTTCATTGTTCGCATATCAAATGGAAACTTCATCAGGCAACAAAGAGGAATGAAGTTAACTGAATGTCGTAGCTACTGTCAATACTATGATTCTGTAGACCAATTTTCGGTCAGAGGTTGCCTGATCAGTGTGTGAAAAGCTCACGTCAGACGAAGATAGCCCACAGGAATTACAATGAATGCAGGACAGAAGTGAGAACATGCCCATGCCCAAACTTTGGTAAGTATGCCCGACCAGAACAAAGTGAGCAAGGCGTACACTTGCGGCCAGGCATACGTTCATGCAGGCAAGTCATCAGTATCATCAGCTGCCTACAGGTCTGCAGCCGAGATAGGCACCTGATGATCCCCACAGCAGCGACAGTCAGAGGAACAAAAGCCATCAGGCACCTCTTCACGTGTACCTAGGGGGTCTTCTAGCATCGCACGATGAGCCAAGCCGACATGACGATCGAGAATGACCAGGTGTCATTTTAGGCCATGACTGGTAATGTTATATGTCTGGTCAGGAAAGCGAAGTTTGCGGTCAACAGTCTTTGACTCATTGGTTACCTCAATGATAGAGTGAATCCTCTATTCAAATAGCAATTTGTGCAAAACTACTTTGTAGTTTATAAACCAGTCGGCGCCCATGCACCAAGACAATAGTACTATGACATACACATGCAGACACACATGGTATACATACTTATTCCCCAACCCATATGCACCAAAGCAACATGCATACACAAGTACTGACGTCATCACTGCTCCTAGGATACGATTAGCCGTGAATGACCGGCCTAAGTAAAGACAGACATGAAAGCACAGGTCATGGGTCATAAGTTACGTATCATGCCTGAAGCCACACCTTCCCCTCCCTTGGTTGACGTGGGATACTTGTCATGACACTCCGAGCAAATAAAACACAATTTCTGGGTACTGGTCTACCTCTGCGACAGTTAGGAGACGAAGTGGCAGTCCACTCAACAGACAGAAATAAAGTTACTTCATCTAGTCGGACGATCTTACGAACACAGCCGATTCGTTCTATCTCACCGTCCAGCTTTTCTTCCAAACGTAGTGAAAAGGGCAATTTGAGATTAGGGACATTATGGTCGTATCAATCTGCGACATGCCCTCAAAGTTAGAAAGAAAAAAAATAAATAAAACAGCGTAGTTTTCCTAACAACCTGGCAGGGTAGGTGCAACTTGTAACGTTCATTACCATGCAGACAAATGGAAGTAATTTGGAAGATGTTCCTTACTGGAATCCCCACCCGGTGCCACCGAATATTATTGCAAGGCCGAGAATGGTTCCTGCGACTATCCCAATGATTGTGCTAGACATACCACCTGGGCGGCGTGTGAGGAGAAAACGAAACTCTATCAGAATTTCTGAAATGTGGAACGTTTTAGCCTGAGGAAGATAGTCATGAAAAAGTGTTATTGTTTTGAAATAAAGATGAAAGGGAGAACTGTTGGCGCAGGAAGATAAGAGGGAAGGAAGTTGGGCGATTCATTTGCCATGGAGGAGGGCACATCCTAGCCAAAGGAATATATATTAAACTCAGGTGTTAGCTTTTTCTCTCGAAAAGGTGGACCTTTGATTTTTTTTCTTTACGATGGAAATGTAAACTCAGGGGATGAAGTTGGGTTTGGGGAGACTTATTTAAGTGTTTGGTGGTACAGTCTGGTGATATCTAATCTTGGTTGAATTTTTGAGGGTGGGTCACTTGCAACAATCATGCCTAGAGTTCAGTATGATGATGCTGGAACTGGCGAGGAGTTGGAGCGGCTGCCTGTATGTTTCTACCTACTACAGAAGCGGACGGGTGAACGGACGTTTGGAAGGCAGCCACTGGACATGCAGAAAAGAATGATTTGCCATGATGAAAATCGTCATGCAGCAGAATGGAGACAGCGTGAGGGGTGGAACAGAAGGTCACATGCAGCGCACGTCAGAGTTGGGACGACTTTTGGGGAACTACAGGGTGCAGCGAATGAAAGAAACCCTTAGGGTGATGGTCAAAAGCAGAGGTAGACAATATGGCGACCGTCGTTATGTTTTACTGCCAACGAACGTCATGCAACATCCGGGTATTCATGCTTTGCGCATGCCTAATATCCCACGCAACCAGGTGCATTACGGGATAGGAGGTGGGGCTTTGTCATGAATGAACAAATGGCACAATGTCCTAAAATATGATCAAGAATGCATACCCTTCGACGGCTTAAAAGGTAATGAAAAAATTGGCCTAGGAAAACTGAAAATTGACGTTGTGACTTTACGTAGATGAAACAGCAAAGACCTGTGCTGGGTATTTAGGGAATAAGGACGAGCAGTGGCAATAGGTAAGGGCATGGAAGAAACGACAGAAGGATATGCAGTCCTGAGCCAAACTTCAACTAGACACGGCACGAATGCATTGAAAGTGCTTACTGAAATCCCCACCCCAGTCCACCGAATACAATAGCAATGGCTAGCAATGTACCCGCCATGGAACCTATGATTGCGTTAGTTGTACCTGGGGGGACAGGAGTGGGAACAGGCGGTGAACAAGCTTGTTAAAACGCGGGATCAGAACCAGAGTGCGGGGTTATACAGTAACGATTAGTCCAGTTAGTCAAACAAACAAACCAACCAATGGAAACAATGTGAAGACAGGTAACAAAGGACAGTTCAGGTAGACCTATAGTGCTGGAGGCGAGTCATCAATATTGTTTTACGTAAAGTATGATACAACTAAAGCAGCCAACTTTACGAATGATAATAATGACAGGTGCATCAGCGATAAGCATGTGAAAAAAGCACATGTTCACGACTACAATGGTATTACTCACATGTTTGAAATATGATTGTACATAACTTTGTAGCAAACACTGACTACATCTTCGACTCATGTATATATAGAAATCTTGTCTATGATAATCAAATTATTTGAGGATCAGAGAAGTGACGTACACAAAATCAAAATAATTTGAAATGACAGTGAAGTTAGGTAATGCAAAGGCGCACACCTAATATGTATTTTAGTATTGACAGGTATACCTGATGTATATGATATTACCTGGTTGTATGTTTCGAAATTGTGACTGATTGTTGACAAGTGTATGTCATGAATCACCTTGGTTTATTTCAAGGTCATCCTCTGGGTTCCTCACGGGAACAGGGTTACCGCAATCGCTGCCCCTCCACTCTCTTGTGTCACATAAACAGCTGTCTTGGTTGGTGCAATTCTAGAGGAACAATGATGAGTACAGCATAGGATTAAAGTTAAAGGTACTTTTGTTAGGCAGTGTTGAAGAATAGTGAACACTATTATATCAATGACGTCATGATGGCATCATGACTTCTGATGGCAATAATGTTATTGATAGTATATTTGATGCTACTATTACAGATAGTGATAGGATATTTGATGATATTGTTTTTGATAATGATAGTATATTTGATGCTACTGTTACATATTGTCATAGGATATTTGATGAAATTGTTTTTGACAGTGATGGCATATTTGTTGCTACTGTTACGGATAGTGATAGGATATTTAATGATATTGTTTTTTATAATGATAGTATATTTGTTGCTCCTGTTACAGATACTAATAAAATACTTGATAATTTTGTTTTGATACTAAATAAATAGTGAGAGGATATTTGATAATACTGTTATCGACAGTGATAGGATATTTGATTCTACCAAAGCTTTCGTCATCTTCAACATTGACTTTGGTGATCTTCAATATCTCCAACAAGACCTTGCTGGAATAAAGGCTGTTTCTTGCGCTTAAGACACCAAGAATTCGCCCTGGGAAGAGAAAGACTTCCATGCAAATGCCACTTACCCCATGTCCAGAATATAGGCTGCTTCCGTGAATAGTTTCATCAGGTTGGTAAGTCACTGAGTAAAGAGACTCTTTTTACACAACCAAGTCAGCCGACGTTTCGGTGACCGTCTGTCACCTTCCTCAGGGCAATTCTGACTAGTTCACATTGCACTGCAGCACAGGTGTCGCTGCTTTGTGCACTACATGCCGTAAAGAATTCGCCCTAGAGAGAGAGGAAACCACTTACTCCATGTCCAGAACAGGGCATCCCATTGCCGCCTACAGGACAGGGCGTGATGTTGAAGTTAGACACCTCCACACACCGCCCACTGTGGCACATCTTGTTGGTGCCGCAGGTCGTCCCGTCCTGGACATATCCGATGTTGTTACTGTCATCCAGCAACACGTGGCCACCCCTAACAAACAGTACAAAAGCACGCTGAATTTCATCCAATGAACATCATTTGTCGTAGCCTGGGTACCATCCCCAGTGGTATTCGCACGCTCTATAACAGTTATAGAGCTGGCGAATATACTACTGGGGATGGCACCCAGGCTACATTTGTCGAAGACCTAATTAGTGTTAATACTAGCTGATCATTCTACTGAGGAAGACGGGAGTGACTGGTCGAAAGTTCTAGGTGAGAACATTTCCCTTTTGTGTTGGAACAAATGTTTTACCTTTAAACTGTTTAACATGTAACTGCCAACACAGATGAACTTTCATGATAGTACAAGCAGATGTTGTATACTCGTAGTCTGACTAGATATTATGTTTGATTTGAAGAAGATTGACCATTACATATTATTCTTGTTATACTTTGCGTCGGCGACATACTAGTAGTCGGTTGCTCTCATGCTATTTCAGCCTGTTGCGAACGTCTGTACCGGATTCTTAAGTTAGAATCGTGAAAGAAGTCTGCTCCACGTGTACAGATGTTCTTACTTGCAGTGCATAGTCTTGCCAGTCCTTGGGTAACTCTTGGACGTGAGAGAGCCGTCCAGAACGCCGACCCTGGGAACTGTCACGTTACCATCGCACAGAAGGTAGCCGCAAAAAATGTCTCTGAAACATGACGAAATGTACCAAGATCTAGCCTGATATCCAGTCTTACGTGGGAGGGGCGGGTTCTCCTCGGGGCTGCAGGAGCCCTTCCCCGCCCGCCTGAGATAGGTTTCCGGGTTGGTATATCACTAGAGATTGATAAGCCATACTTCGTGTTGGGGCAAATCAAATCCCCAAGCATGCTATCTCTGCTAGCGTAACAGGTCGGCCTGTTGTACTGGGCGGGTGGAAGATATTAGAGCTCCCGAAGACACAGCCTGCCTGAACACGCCAACAGTCCCAATCACGTAAGACTGGACACCAGGCTAACCAAGATCCGGATATTGTGACACAATAAAGGACCGTCCCATTACCACCTTAGATGTTTTTATTCACATATACTTATTTAGTATTAAGCAAGAAGCACAGTTACGCATATGGTGCCTTCTACTCAAAAATATTAAACGAGAGTAAACACAATGACAGAATACATTCATAATTACAAAATTGGTAAAAAAATGAGTATAAACAAGACAAGTTGGTGATCTATCAATTACGAGAATCTACATGTACAGTAAATAAAGTTTTGAACTACATCGACGACATTATAGTGCCACTACATGCGAAAGTGACATGGACCCTCGTAGCAGTAAAGAACACGAATTACTGTCATTGAGATGCTGTAGCTTTACTATGTTAGAAATAGATGATAACAGAGTACTTTTGAGATGTTATTATCAGTGAACAACAGGGGATACAGTAGATGGAAACTAGTGACATACTTTGGTTCACATTTGTCCCAACCGCCATCTTCGCTCTTCCCGCAGTTGCCGTCCCGGTTTCCGTTGATGTTGAGCCTCTGATAACAGATGTCATCTGCTGTGTGCACATCTAACAAGAAAAAACAGGTAAACATATTTATTTAAATAGTTTTATCATTATCTTCGGAAACCTGCTTCCTAGCTCCCCTACAATCCCAAATTTAATTATTCTGTTAGCAAAAATCTTTATATACAATAATAGAAAGTAAATTTTGAATCCTTTCTTCTATATATAAATTTCTTTTAAAAAAGTTGAATGAAATATTGCTGCAAGAAAAGGAACAGTGGAAACACATCTGGGAAAATGGGGCACTCTTGGTGATTAGTACTGTTGTGGTAAACTTTTAGTATGGCTACTTTTGTCTTTTTCTTTGCTTGACTGTTGACCCTTATTTGTATATATTTCTTGAGATGGTCAAATTAGGTATTGATTTCAACTGAATGGTTCCCAATTTGTTACTTCTTTGTTATTAGAAATAATTATATATAAAAAAAGGAAAAACGCAGTCAGTGGGTTTGTGTGATTTCACTGCTGATGCTTTCAACGTACACCTACCTTCTTAACCTATTAGGGGTAACTGTTAACATAATTTTCATTGGGACATTTGTGACATATATTTAATCTTAGAGACTACATGTTAGAAAATAGTTAAACATTTATTGTTGCCGCTGAAATATATTCTGTACGTAATGTGCCGCATAGATATATTCCGTACGTAGGATGACGTTATTCATAAATGCTTTGTTAGATCTTTAGTTGTAGAAGACCATACAAAAGTCCCTGTACTTTTTGTTGAATCAATAAAGAATCTTTAAAACATTGCCCTTAAAACATTTTCCTGAAGTATAAATGGTCAAGATTATTGAAGCCACTCTCAAGACAAATTGAAGTTCTAATAGTTTTATATATATACAAATGGTGAGAAATCCATCAATGGAGTAACAAAGCCTGTATGTGAACTTACCTTCACCCCAGACATATTTGCACTGGTTTGTTCTTGTCCTGCACTCGCCATAGTAGCAGTGGCCCTGTGAAATTTAAACATACGGAAAATGGTCAGATAGCTTATTATATAATATCAACCACTTAGAGATACACGTACAGTATAGGTCATAGTATCGACACAGAAGTATGAAATGGAGATATATGCTTACATCGACTTCGCAGAGTTGTCCATCTTGCTTGTAAAGGTTGTCTGGACACTGAAAAGACAAAACATCATCTCACTGTTTTTCCTTAGTTTAATGCACCTTGCGCCGAACGTGTTCTAAATACAGAACTACTGTCAGTGTTCTAGCCAGGCCTTTTTAGCATAAGGGCCCCAATGCTATGATTTTGACCCCCTGTGCTATAATTTTGACCCCTATGCTATACTTTTGGCCCCTATGCTAAGTTTCAACCAGCATAGGGGTGTTTTGGGAGGGAGAACCTTCATAAATCTTGCTAAAAAATAAAACATAACTTTAGAATGAAGCTATAGCAAAGGAAAAACCTTGACTTCACAAAATCTGTTCCACATTAAACAAGAAATAGTGTCTCAGGGGGTGATGAGTTTCAAAATGTTTTGGCTCAATGGGTGATTTGCCCCACTAAAGTTGTTCTTCTGTACGTGACCCCTATGCTATGTATATAAAAAATCATGGCTAGAACACTGACTGTGTAACGTCATTGTTTCGGTTCATATTCAAAATGGTGGCCATACTTCTCCACTCTCGCCGGTGCACTTTTCTTCCAAGTCGCAGGCGTTGACCGGCGCTCTACACGATGTGTGCTTTTCCTTGAACTGAGAAAACATCACAATATATGAGTAGGTATACTGGTTTATGTAAGCCTTTCGACGAGGTCACGTTAAAAAGGGTTTAAAGGGTAAAAATGTGTAAAAATCTGAAGTACACATTCTTTTTGCCAAAGATAGGACAAAGTGAGATTGAGGTAAAAAAACACGTTGTTTTGCAGTATGGCGGTTACCAACTGGTCTTGTAATTGTTATTTTTTTAAATTTCAACAATTTTATTCTGAGATATTGCAAATGTATATATCAATGATCCATCAGATACAATCTTACATAATCATGACATATAAGTTTTAAAAAATTGCTTATAATGCTATGCACATGCTCTATTACCAACTGGTTAGAATGTTGTTTTGTTACCATACATAGGAGTACATGTAGCAACTCTATCACATGGCATTATGAACTAACATGACCAATATTGGTTCAGAATTGACAAACTTGACCAACCAAAATCTTCTCTGCTGTTCTTTCATAAAATTTATGTCAATCCTGGTAAGGCTAGGCATGCATAGTGTAGTGTCACAACTTAACATGGAATTGAAGTGTCAACGACTATACATCTTGATACAAATTTACTCCAGTATAATATAAGCTTGAATAGGACATATTTTGCCTTTGTAATTTTGACGGCTTACATTGCATGTCGACAAGTCACAACATTCTCCGTGTGCGCATTTTGCTTCCTCCGCCAGCATACAGCTATCGCAGCATTTTACACACCGCTTGTAGAACTTCATATCCGTCGGCTGTAGGTTTAAAAAATCGCCATTTTCATGTGTCAATTATTTTGTAAATCTTTTCACAAATAGTAAGAACTACTGAGGAAGTTTAATTCACATTTTATTGCAATCTTTTTACCGAAGGCTAATTAGAAGGAAACACACTGTTACAGTAACGCTAAAGATAAATTGTCTAGTCTATCGTATGTTTCTACATGCACTACTGGAGAGTTTTACTTTTTTGAAGGTTTACTTGTCTAATATATACAAAGAACATGTACAGTCCTATATTTGTAATTCTAAGTGGGTTTTGTGATCTTAGCAGAAATATTGTTTTTGGTGGTCTTCCAGATGACAAAAATTGAAGTTTGAGAGGAGTGAGGTAATTGTCTCAAAATTCCGGTTTCTTTTAACCTCGCAACGACAGCGTTTACAAATGTGTAAATGTAATTGACAATTATTAAATATCCAGTCCAAGTTAGTGCAGTGTTTGTGAACGTACCGTAGGAGGCCCACAGTCGCACTGTTCACCTGCTTCTATAAATCCGTTTCCACAATAGGGAGGCTCGTGGAGCTGGAAGAATAAAAACTTGTGTAAACAAAATTCTTACAGTAAAATCGTGACCTTTCAATTGCCTAGTTGTGATAGAATAACGTGATGTAAATAGTATAGATATATTACTTTTGTTAGAGCCAATAGACCAAGTTTAAAAATGTATTCAAAACATCAGACCATAAGTTGTAGTGTGGACCCTGAGTGAGTAGTGGGGTAAAAGTCTTCCCAATCACCTCAAACGTAGTAAAATGTTGAACTTTATTCCAACACAAGGATTACACAGAGATCAAATTTTCAACGCCCACTGTGGCCTTCATCGGGATAATCAATGACCAATCACTTCAAAACGTAATCTCGCGAGAGTTACGGTTACAGACACGTGACTTAATTCACACGAGACTTTGCGGAAGCGTGATGTCAGCAATTGATCAAACGTGCCAGGTAGGTTGTGTCGTCCACCGTCTCTGTGTAATCCTTGCGTTGGAATAAACATTTTGCTATCATCACAGATGAACTTTCATGAAAAATTCTTATGTTTACCCAATACTGAAATCTTCGTATAACAATAAGAAATCACAATAACGGTACATAACAACGTGACAATAAGACAGAGTGTTTAACAAGGGTGTATGCTTAACTGTATCTGTACATGAATCTGTATCTGATTGCAAATAAAGATATCGAGTGATTGCCATAGAGATGCTTAACTCTCAGACACGAACTCGCAGACTTGTAATGTACAAACACACACAAACATTCAATTCCTGAAAGCTGAAAGTTATCCTTTATCCTTACCTTTTCAGGTCTGTTGAAGATACAGGCACCGAGTCCGTTCATGAGTAGCTCTTGATAGTCCCTTACACTACATTCCGAAAATCTACTTGGCTGCTGAATTCTGAAAAGAAAAAAAAGGCAAATCAATTATGAGGTTTTAAAAGTTACAGTAAATTTACACAAATTTGCCGCCTTGTTTATATCATTGTTTACTCATTGGTTGCATTTGTTGAGTTGATACAATGATATCACGTGAGTGTATGTCACGTTGGTATCACGTGGATATCACGTGGGTGTATGTCACGTGGATATCACGTGCGTGTATGTTACCTACCCTCTTTCATTCTCCATGATGCACCCGTACCAATCTGGACAGGCTTTAAAGCAATCTCCTGAGGAATAAAAGACATTTTGTTTTAGTGTGACTGAAAGCAAATCAAATCACATCCCTATTCAATGACATGCTACTTAACTGACCAGTGAGTATTCCTAAACGGTTTATAGACAAAAAAAACGTTGCTGATCGATGACAATTGCTGAGTTTTGCTAAGCATTCTTGAGAAAGATTGAATAGTCGAAGTCGAAACCGGTCGAATTCCGTCTCATCGTTGTCATCTTCTCATCGCTACGAATGACTATTGCTAAGTTAGTAAAAGTAAGACTACTAAAGTAAAATCTGGAATAGATAATGACCATGACAATGAACTTTATTGCATATTCACGCCCTACATGAGCGAAATGCACCACATAAGATAAAATTTGCAAAGCAAATGCATAATGTTTACCTACGGATATGGTCTGCTCTGCTAATTCTTATAAATGGTCAGACAGGAGTATAAATCCCTCCTACTATAAAATTGCAACATTATGTAACCCAACACCAGTTACCATGGTGAGAGACATCAACAAATCAGGTCATTGACCAGGTCAGAGGTTAGTGTTTGGAGAAGAAGAGGAGGAAATGTAGCAAAAACGCTATGTTTTCCTTCGGTAAATGTAGTAAGCTATGATAAGAGAGTGATGATTACTTCCGTTATCGTCGTGCATCCCCAGATTGTGTCCCAGCTGGTGTGCTAACGTCACAGCCAACACCATGGCGTTCCTGGGATTCTGGTTCTAGGAGAAAGGACAAGATAGTGTGTAATAAATGGAATCTTCCTTTACCTAATGGTAACAAGTAGATACATTGAAGTTCACGGTTAACGATAATTAAATGTAGAGATGTATGAAGGGAATATAGATAATGAAGAAGGGTCTACTAAATAGAAGATGGCGTTCTTGCCATTTGATCTATTCTAATAATCTCCTAGCAGATCTTTCGGTGGCCGCAAAGACAGTATCAAATTGGCCAGGCTGTATCCATTTGCCAGACAGTATCCATTGGCCACTCGAGTGTCTTTGCGGCCACCGAAAGAATTGCTTGGAGATTACTATTCTGAGAAATGACAGATTACACAACATGACACATGGGTCTAAGGTTAAACATTTTCCAAACTACTACTGAACCCACTTCGTTGACACCTCCGCTGTTCCGTTTTGTGCAGATGCCGTTGATGGGGGCCTGACCTGTTACCCCGTCTGCAAATGCCATTCCGCTACATGGGAGAAAGACAAAAAGACTCAGAAATTCACTTGACAAACGTGTTAAAGACTGCTTGACAAGCAACATCACCACATTCTTGTTTCTGATACCTTTCGGGAGGAAATATATGTTACCTGGATGATACCCATGTTTTGTGATGTAATTTTTATTTTATGTCTAGTGGTGACGTGAATATAAGCATATTGCTTGAGTACGTCACCACTATGTATTGTTGAAATAAAACAAATATATTGCCAGACATTCTATGAAGGCAACGTTTCCTTACCGCATGGCATTGTACATGATGTCAAGGAAGTAAAAGGAAATTCATGATTGCGAGCTAGTAAGGCTAAGGCGTCAAATATTTGGGACATAAAGAGACACGTTAGGCCTTTAATGTACTTCTTTTTTATGGGTTCACCACACCACGAAGTGGTGTGGTGAAACCATATTGCTTTTTCTGATGTTTCTCCTCCTCCTCCTTCTCCTGCCATTTTTTAAATGGATTCAGCTTCTTCATTTTAGGGCCTAAGGTCCTGAAATTTGGTATGGAGGTACAGTGGGCAAATACCCCTAGGCGTTTTTTAAATTATTGTGATACAGGCTTTTAGAATGGTTTTATTTGAGTTTTTTGGCTGTGTTATAGCAAATGTATTACTGTGTTAGTTTGCCTTGTTTACCACGTTTGGGCATGAGTCATCACAATGGAATGCAGGGCATCAACCAATAGGCATGCAGCTTTCCTCTATACTTCTTGCTGATTGGCTGTTGGGATTTAACTTGATTAACACCTGCACAGAAGCATTTCCATACTGACAGTATGTCTGTATTCAAGTGTTTTGGTAGGTATTTCAAGCTTTCCTGCTCCAGCATTGGAATGCCGGGCATGGACGTTTTTTTTTTATTTTGAAAATCAACAGTTTGCATTATGCAATTAAAAATCCTAACCAATAAAGTAGGGAATAGCTATCCAACTGTTGTTTTAGTTGTATTTTACTTCATATTATAGTTATATCAATGTAAATCATTGTTTTCCCTTGTGTTTCTCATTCTTTCCCTGCCATGTGGTAAAATGTGGTGAACCCATCGCTGTATTTGCTCCAAAGCAAATATTGGCCTTTCTAGTTTTCAGTTAGATCATCTGCACCAAGCACTACGGGAGTAGAAGTCCTATCTTGTTAGGTGGTCTAGCATTGGGACAATCTGGCGCCGTGCTTTCATTCGCCACCTTTTTAAGTAAAGCAGTCTTTTCTGTATCCTTCAAACGATCCCGCAGGTACTTACAACATCAGCTCTTCAAGGCATGCAATGCGATTTCAGAGCAGCAAAACTGGAAATATTCTGAATAAGGCAATTTTATGATATTGACACATACTGTTTCACATTAGCACATTTCAATCACTATTTCATACTTTCGGTACCTAAAACTGGAGAAACAAGCCCCAAGATGAGTCCTTTATTTTATGGGAGGTACCCTAAAAATCAGCCAAGGGCCCTTCCAGTACCCATTTTCCGTCACAATTTTGAATATTTTTGCTCCATGAGGGTCAATATACATTAGGGTAGTATATTTTCAACTCAGTATGTAGATACGTGACTAGAATATTGACTTTGAAAAATCGGGTTTCCAAGTCCTAAAAACTGCACTGGATGCCTTTAACGTACAGATGTGTCTAGCCAACATTTGACGCTATACCTGCCCATCTGCGGCATCATGAAGAGCTATGAAATGTGATCTGATGTGAAGGGCAAACAACAGATTGCAAACACACAGGAGGGCTGACTGAAGGACACAGTAATGATTGTGGTATTTTTAACCATTAGGACTCGCTGAAGTTCACCCTTCATAGCCAATCTGTCCAAATAGTGGAAAGGAAGAACAAACATAGAACTTCCCCACCGTGCTACTTTATATGTATGTAAGGCCACAGCAAGCAAATGTTATGGATGACATCCTGCACAGACTCCAAATCTAATGCGATAGGGCAAAAAAAGAAGGCGGGCCAAAAAAACAAGGTTCCTACATTTTCAAATTTTGATATAAACCTTGTTAAACGAGAAATGATACCTATATTGTGATATGTTTACTGCCAACTATCACTATAACGTTCACTATTCAATGAACGTGACATATAAAAGGAATGGATCACTGCATCAAAGTAAAAGACAAAACATTAACTCAGAGCCTTGTCTTGTCTCCTCTCTCAATATTTATCTGGCATCCACGTGGTATAGCAACAGAGATCTTTGCCCATTTTCGGTGTGTTGACCACTTTCAGAAGGCAAAACGTTTTTTTTATTTTTCCAAAATCAGGCGAAAAGTAATGCGCGCGCTGATGTCATCAATAAGAATTACTTGCTGTAGCCTAACAGAGAGTAGAAAGACTTGACTGCCTACCTGAGTAAATGCGCTGCATCATGCGGCTGCCAGTTTAACAGGTTCCGATATCTGTACTTCAGAAACTGCCTGAGAGTTTCCTGGGCATCGCTGTTCACTGCTATCTGGTCTTCACTATCCCACGTCTCTATCGCTACTAGTGCTATTCTTGTGTTCAGCTGCTTACTGTACATCTACGGGAACACAGGCGAATGTTAACATGAAAGTTCATCTGAGTTGGTAAGATACATACTAGTAATGACAATTAAATTGTCCTCCAACTCAAGAAAAAAACTTACCAGTTTGTTATATGAGAACAAAATCAATCAGGCCAGGGAAGTAAAAGTGTCGAGTTACGTATCTCATATTTCTGTTATGTAGAATGTCAGAATTATAGCACGTTATAGCACCATAAGAGAGAAATACAAGACATTGGTTCAAGACGTTTTCGTCATATAGGGTTGTGGTACTATGATTAGGCCACACCAATTTAATTTGTTGGTTCTCGGATTCGCCTCTTCATTTTTTTCTGATTTGCAAAAAAAATCTGGTTCTGAATCAACTAAAAATGCTCGTTGCAACAGTTGAGGAAAGTCCTTTTCTTCCTGTTGTTGCACTTTTTTCATCTATCAATGCATTGGTTTGATTAAAACTTCAAAATTCATGGTTTAGATATTAACCCAGGTTTTTTGTGCTGACTTCATGGCTCCTTTCATAGCATTTGGAGCTATAATAGGCTGCCTAGACCTGTTTTTATTTTATTTTTTTCGCCCTGTCGCTTCATTTTTTTTTTGAAAAAAAAATCCGAGAACCAACAAATTAAATTGGTGTGGCCTTAGTGTGAGTAACTGTGACTTACCGCATCTACTAGATTTGCTACGGTCTTTGCGACGCTACTTGTCCGCTGTGTGTTATTTTTATACATCTGGAACTGCAGGGGTCACACAAAGGCAAATGCGAACAGTTACAATTCGTACAATTATAGAGAGTCAAGTCGACGGATAATCGTATTACAGGTACACGTACACTCGACAGTTGGTCGCTAAATGTTCACAATAGGGGGTCCTACCGCCTTTACCAACAACAAAACATACATACATAATAGTACGCATATATACATGATTAGAGCAATACGTGTTAAGTAATTGGACTGGAAGTGTGTATTCCAGCCTATGACAGCCTCAAAAAGGAATGACGCCTCACTAATCTATAGTTACAGCAAAGCGTCTCCTTTTCTTGAGCAGACTGTTGGTATGGGAAGTCAGGAGCCCTTTGCTGTAATGGATTATCTGATTATTTCCATCCACCAATCATCGTCATCCATTATAAACTAATCACAACGTCGTAAATCTGTTTTGTTCCTGTTTTCCTGCACGTGTCGGGACGGGGGTACGGAACAGATGTGTCATTCAGATGACATAATCCGTTCTTGAGCTGGCACAAATTACTCTTCATAAATCGCACAGAGATCAGCCCTGATTTGCTGTACTTGATTGTTTTCGTTTGTTCGGTAAACGTTAATCATGCAGTGGGCGGGACGATAACTTGATTGAGGGAGCAGGCTGGCGGTAGATTATATCATGTATCTGTGAATGATGATTATCAAATTGCATCAAATAACACCAGCATCATTATAGTCTCAATCCCATTGTGCTAACGCATCGACGCGATATCAAAATAATGCTAAACAAGAAAAAAAGAGAAAATTTAGGCCAATGTCATGATTAAAATAATATATAATATGATACTTGCCATTCTGTTATCATTTACTAAGATTAGCTCAATGTACTTTGTTTCTGGAAGTACGTCCCTCTTCAATCTTGCCTGTAGAGGTAAAGAGAATATGACATTGAATAAAGCAACCTCCGTAGTACCATGTGGTATATTGTGTTGAACAGGCACGATGGTCTCTTGTTCTGTTTTTGACTGTAATTTTGACTCAACAACATAAAAATCCAGACAGATAAGTTGCACACTATCTACACACGTTAGTGTGACTGTCCTTGGTGCTGAACACAATCTACACACGCTAGTGTACCTGTCCTTGGTGTTGAACACTATCTACACACGTTAGTGTACCTGTCCTTGGTGCTGAACACAATCTACACACGTTAGTGTGACTGTCCTTGGTGCTGAACACTATCTACACACGTTAGTGTACCTGTCCTTGGTGCTGAACACAATCTACACACGTTAGTGTACCTGTCCTTGGTGTTGAACACTATCTACACACGTTAGTGTACCTGTCCTTGGTGCTGAACACTATACACACGCTTGTGTACCTGTCCTTGGTGCTGAACACTATCAACCTACTTAAGTGTACCTGTCCTTGGTGCTGAACACTATCTACACACGTTAGTGTACCTGTCCTTGGTGCTGAACACTACATATACATGTTAGTGTACCTGCCCTTGGTACTGAACACTATCTACACACATTAATGTACCTGTCACTGGCTCTGAACACTATCTACACATGTTAGTGTACCTGTCCTTGGTGCTGAACACTATACACACGCGTTTGTGTACCTGTCCTTGGTGCTAAACACTATCAACCTACTTAAGTGTACCTGTCCTTGGTGCTGAACACTATGTACTCACGTTAGAATATATTTCTTGGTGCTGAACACCAGACACACATATGTTAGTAAGTCTGCTCTTGGTGCTACGCTAATCATCTACACACATGTTACTATATTTGCCCTTGGTACCATTCGCCCACGTTCGTATGTATGTCATTAGTGTAATCATGTCCTAACTACATGTAGTTTGTCTCAAAAGAGAGTATACTTTCTTTGCAAATCCGAGAAAGCGACAAACACATGGGAAGACATAGATATATCATTTCCTTACCTTTGGTTTTCTTCTAAATAGAAGTTCTCTAAGTCTATCCAGTCTACTTGACTTCGTATCCTTCTGTGGTTCTGTAAAAAAAGCATGTCACATGGTATATATCATACAAGGTCACGCCGCTACATGAAAGTGGTTTGTTACCCTTGTAAAATATTCCAGATACAATAAAAGAGATTGAACCATCCATGGATACGTGTTAAGTAGGAAATGCTTCGATTATCGACACAACGTATAAGATATAGATTCCAATGCTTTTATAAAGATGTAGATGTATTACTGGTCTCACCATCTCGAACCAGGACATCATCCTGCTGCATAGTTTTGACATTGGTCCTGTACACGATGTGCAACTGACCATTCTGAAAGGGGGAAAACAAGATGTCTTAAGGTTTTATCATATACTAATCTTCAATATGTTAATCTTTCCAATGACATTTTTAAATGACTTGAAAGATTACAAATAGCGTGTTAAGGGCTTTCGTGAGCAAAGTTTAGGGCACAACGTACACTACGATTTTTTAAGTTTGAGACATTGTAACTTCTACAGCTACACAGTAATGTGAGGATAGCTGTTGAGATTGCCCTTCCATCAGAGGTGACATTGTCTTTATTACAGGTTTTACATACAGTATTCGCCCATTTGTACGGGATTAAAAGACTAAGTACGGCCTGGGGCATTACTGTCGGTGGATAACACGGAGGACCGTGATGTAAGTGGCTGAGCTGACGTCCGTTGTAAATTGTGGATGAAAGGACTACCCACATATCATCAAGTTACACATAGAACGTCCTTCCGGTTAAGTATTCACTACCTAGGCCTCAGCTTCTCTACTATTCAGCACATGTCCACGAATACTTAAGGCCGATTTTAGACGAAAATCTGCCATTCTAACCCAAATAAACAGCTCTGCTACAGTACTTTATTCAGATGACGTTTGTAGAATCACTACTGCTGAGTGCCACGCAACCCTTGCTAATGGAGGCTGATGTATCAGTAATCCTCCGGAATGTAATTATGGCACCATTTGCATGAATCTATAGCTCTTAAACCTTTCCTTCTCATTTAAGCAGCTTGATGTGCCCGGTCAAGGAAAGGCAGGCAAAGGTTCTTAGCCAAAGGTTTCCTGTAACTAAACCGTAGTCTTTTTATCAGAGGCAGCCCTCTTCCTTACCATGCCGAATTCGTGTGAAATACTCGTTAGTGAATAAAGGATTAATGCCCCACCCGGAGGTGTATATGTTGAAATAATCCCTGGTCAGATGCGATAACCACCTCATAAACCACCAAGTGAGCGTAGGGAACGAGGTGGTTAATGAGGTGGTTATCGCACCTGACCAGGGATTATCTCTCCATATACACCGAGGATAAGGCGTGGCATTAATCATTATGGCATTAATAATTATCCAACTGACACACTTATTTGACTCAAATTCAGTACCACTTTTAGTAGGGGTGTCAAAAGTTATGTTTAGTCTTTTCTGTTTAAATTTCATTTATATCTTTTTAATAAAAAGTCATAAAATCAAATAAATTATTCAAAATAAACGACTATACGTTGTTTAATAGATAAATACTATAAGTCTTAACACTACTGCTAGTGTCCTGTCCCCTTAATAATGGTACGGTCCAAAAAGTGGTCAGTTATTCTAATAACCGACCACTTGTGAGGTTAGCCTAAAAACCGATGGGAAATGGAGCCATCTGATTGGTCGACGTCGCCCGCCTATATGATAAGGTGTGTTGTTATCCTCTGCTATCTTCTTACACCGTACGTAGGAATCACGTTACAACTCTAATCTGATTGGTCGACGTCGCCCGGCTATATGATAATGTGTGTTGTTATGCTCTGCTATCTTCTTACACTGTACGCACGAATGACGCTACAACTCTAATCTCAAACACAGGCTGATCACCTTTAGCTGTAGGCTAAGTACACAGTGTAAAACACTGGCGCTGTGACAGGTTTATGGCAAATCAGCAGGCTGAAGAATCGCCCTTACATCTTCAACCTTCGATTGAACAAAGGTTTACATGTACAACATCCATTAAACAAAGCATTGAAGCCTGGACGGATTTATGTATACAATACCTATGTTAAAAGTAGTTACTCAAGCAACTGGATATGATTTTGAAAACGACGTTTCAGCTAGTATCCACTAGCTTTCGTCAGTGACTGAGAGACCAGAGGGGGAATGCAGGTTTATAAGCACAACCTATTGATTGATATGCAAATAAAGTGAAGACAAATTTTTTGAAGTCGAAAAAGGAACAAAAGTCAGACAAGTCAAGACAAGATGCAAATTAGTCAGAAAGTCAATAGGTTGTGCTTATAAACCTGCATTCCCCCTCTGGTCTCTCAGTCACTGACGAAAGCTAGTGGATACTAGCTGAAACGTCTTACGTTTTCAAAATCATATCCAGTTGCTTGAGCAACTACTTTTTGGCGTTCGTATTACCTGGATGTCTAACCTTCATCGACGTATACCTATGTTATATAATAGGACACAGATTGCTGATACAAAATGTTTCAATAGTAGGAAGACTTGAAAATATCTAATATCGTGTACTGGACCTTTTTTTTATAGATTATTTGATTTGAAACATAGAGCAAGATGATTTTGGAAGTCAAAACTGTGACGACATTTGGTCGTTTGGGGACGCCGGCAGTGATGAGGGCAATCTTGTCTACATCTCAGTTACAATGAGACTGGCGCCACAATGCGCACCGAGCCATTTAAATAATGTCTGCTGCCTCGATCTTACTATGTAATGACATATGGTTTATGGCGCCAGGGCAGAGCACGGGTCACTGGAGGGCAAACAGCTGTCTTACAATGTTTGTACCACTTGGGATGGCCAATAGTTGTGCATTCATTCGACGTGCAACAAAATTGTTATGGCTAACCCTGCAGTAGAAATGCATGTGTGGAATCAGCAAAAAGTAGACACTAATGATCAAGCAAAATCCGAAGATTGGAGATCCATATACAGTGAATTCTGACCCTGACCTCCAAATGTAATCAGTATTTTTAATAGTGCTTCTTAGTTTAAAGTCTTTGTATTTATGTATAGATAATTCCAATAATGTAATGAGTCGATGACTTTGATTTTGTTCTTATTTTATGTAGCTTGTTGTCCTTGTACCCAGGGTTAGCCCTTTAAAATAACCTTGTTACTAGTTGAGCAATTCTGTCTTTTGTACAGCTGAACCAATAAAACAAGTAAATAAATGATCTACAAGCTGGCGTAATGTTCCAACATTTCTATTTTGCTCAACTTTAACATCTTTCTATTGCAGTACCACTAGGAATTCCACGTAACACTGTAGTATGTTTGTTTATCGTTAAAACTTTAGATCCAACACAAAAAGTTCTCCCACCTAGAGCTTTCGACCAGATACTCTGGTCTTCCTCAGTAGACTGACCCAGTGAGGCTATCACGTGGCTTCTTTGAAGTGTGACATCAACACTGGGTCAAATGTATCTGATAGACCACCACTAGTACCACCACGACCAGATACCTTTGACTCAGTGTTGACGTCACACTTCAAAGAAGCCACGTGACAAGCTTCACTGGGTCAGTCTACTGAGGAAGACCAGAGTGACTGGTCGAAAGCTCTAGGTGAGAGAACTTTTTGTGTTGGATCTAAAGTTTTAACTTTAAACCTGTAACTACCAACACAGATAAAGTTTCATGACTGTAGTATGTTAGTTACCTTATCTGGGACAACATCTTGCTCATCGGAAGGCCGTATGAAGTACAGACTGTCTCCGTCATCAAACATGCCACTGAAACAAACACGTTCACTCATCACCGCTACTCATACAACAAACCAACTAAACAGGCATTAATATTTAAAGCGATATTATGTAAGATTTTCACTATTCTAAACATCGTTGTTTAACACATTTTCTTGAGCTATAAGCCTGCCATAATGACGTTTGGGGAGTAAAAGATCAACGTCGTTGTGCCGCGAAAAAGTGTTGGAAAACTGCCGAAGATACCCGAACGAAAACTGCTGTTTGTCTACATTCGTTTTAGGAGCCTCCTAAAATACAGCGGGCCTGGCGAAACGTATTATTCTCTTATGTTGAAAGTTATTGAAAATAACAATCTAGAAGAGAAAATTTTAGTTATTCATATTTACAATTTTGGCGCAAAAATCTTACATAATATCGCTTTAGATATCTGTGATATTGACACATTACGTACATTTGTACGTCATACGAAGAAACAGCACATCTGTAACACGTTTGTCAACAAGACAAGCAATTTTGAATGCACAGAAATATATTCATATTTCATTTATTTTGTTTGTTGCTTTTGAGCTCAACAATTCAGGCACGATGCCATTACACCAGATTAATTCCTAGACGTTCCGCGTCTCAGACTTAGTGTAGTGGTGCTGTCCATCCCGGTGGACAGAGTGTTAATGCGGCAGACCAAGCGGATAATAGCCTGCACAAAAGCGCACGCAGCGTGGAGGGTACGCCCGGGGTCGATGAGCGGAATAAGGCTTCCATCCGCAGATACCAGCGATGACCCGTTTTCCGTGATGGAGTCGTGATGGCGGCAGTTCATCGAAGTCATTTCACTCCATTTGTTTTGTTTCTTCAATTAGAGTCCCTCCCCCCGTCCCTGATTACACATTTTGCAGAACCATTTATTATCGTGCTCAAAGATAATGTACGAATGTACTTACAGAAGGCCGTTGCATGTTGATAGTGCCACTGTTGAGCCGGGTCGACCTCTGATGCGGCCATGATAGTAGCAATGCTCAGTGCCCTGTGCCAAAAGTACAATGGCAATGAACTTTTAAGAATTAGAATTGCATATTCACGCCCTACATGGGCCAAATGCACTACTTTAGATAACTGAGGTACAAGGATAGAAGGAACAAGTGCTACATTCCTGTGCTACATCTATAGTATATCTACAAGATCTCTGTTTTTGAAACAAGCATGAACAAATTTACATAGTTTTTCATTTACACCGTATCCCTGGATGTCACAATATGTTTGAATAATTCTCTTTTCGGTAGTTGCGTATATTTCTGTGATGAATTTATAAACGATTTTCGCATGTCTGTGTATATTGTGCACTCTAAGACAAAATGTGCTTCATCTTTTACACAGTTATCGTATATGAAACACAACATGAGATCAGAATGCAAAAGTTTCCACACAGAAACACCGATAACATCTCAGGAAATTGCTGATCCACTGATCATTCAAATGGCGCGATCAGAAAATGTTCAGTTGATATTGAATCCTGCTGAAAGAAAGAAAACACCACACACAGTTTCCTGCCATCCCTACGCCATTTGGCATCGTTTTTGTTATAACTGTGGTTTCCTTTGCTGAGGAAAGGAACAAAGGAAATGAATGTCTTGTTTATTTCTGATATACATTTGCCTATACATCGATGAATCGCGATCGTTGATGAATCAAGCTTCTTTCCTTTGTAGCGACTTTGATCAAGCTTAAAAGACACTTTTGATCATTTGATCATTGAAAACTACTCTCCTCTTAACATCCGAAACCCACAAATTACAGAAAAAGTGGGATCCTTTGTCTTCCTCCGTCTTCAAAAAAGAAGTCAAACCCAGTAGTTTTTACTAGTAGTTTCTTAGTAGTTATCAGTAGTTCTATGTGTACTAATTGTCTGTTTTTTTATACCACATGTTTCTTCGAATTCTGTGCCTGTAATTAGCCCTCGGGTATGAATTTGCAACAAAACTATAATTAATGTACAGTGAACATGCTACTTCAGCATTTAAGACATTTAAGTCAGCAAATGTGTCATTGATGCACGGCGATCTTCATTGTTTACAACGTTGTCCTTTGTTACACGTAGACCAATCACGATCCGCCATGTTTGTCAGATAACCGCAGCGCTAAAGCTCCCGTGATTAAACTTGACGAACGCCACGTGAAGTGCTGGAATCACGCCTGATGCAGGCTCGTGTCGTTTATCAGTCAGAGCGCACATTTTCCCGTGAGAAACGGCCGTATCCATCAGGGTGGATATCTCCGTACCTCCCACGCAATCCCGGTGAGGAGAAAACATTACCCTGTAGTTATCTCCCCTCCCAAGCTGTTTCCCAAGCTGTTAACTCCACACACCCGCCACTGGGAAGACCCTGAAAACTCAGCGCCAGGTTTTCATTGTTTCATGTTTACTGTTGAAAGACAATGTCTCCAGGTTTGATCTGGAGTTGTGATCTGAAATAAAAGTTTATTGTTTGAATGAGGAACCGTAAATTATTAAACATCAACGTCGATGTTGTTTATGCGAGGAAATGAAGGTATTTACGCCCCCAATGGTGTGATAACCAGCTGGACGAACATAAAGCAAAGCAATCTACAGAAAGATATTCCTACGTCAGGTGGGCGATTTTACAACATTATGGCAATTTCGCTACCTTCTGTATTAGCAAAGTTATGACCAATCGATTTTCTGTTTGTGGACAACATTTCCCAATACCACCTGTGGTCACCATACACAAAGGGTATGATAACTAGAAAAGTAACATTTGCAAAGCAAATGCATAATGTTTACCTTCGCATATGGTCTGCTCTGTTTATTCTTACTCCAACAGATTCACATATATGGTGACAGGAGTCTAAATCCCCTTCTACCATTAAAATGCAACATTATTGGCCAGGTCAGAGGTCACTGTTGGAGAAGAAGAAGAAACTGAGCAAAAACAATATGCTTTCCTTCGGTAACATAATAAACCTGAGAACGTAGCACAGGGCCTCATCTCTTACAATACAGCATGTAATTATATGCAGGTATCGTGCATTGCATATTGGTACCCACGCAAGCAAGAATCCCTCGCCGTATATAGGCGTCCCACCCGCCTACGTAATTGAGACTTTACTTATTTCGGCTAGCGGTGATTTTGCTGTTTCCGGAAATTGTATTATAAAATACATAGAACATTTTAGACGCAATTTTGTATTCCAAGACGTTTGTTACCGTATCCTAGAAGCAATCTTGCGTTCCAAGAAGTCACAGTCAAGATCCTTTGAAGATTGATCAGAAATCGATAAAAGCTGCACTGTGCCTGTACATAGCTTAAGCCGACACATCACAATGCTGAAGTTGAATATTGGCCTGGATGTTTTTGGCCTAAAATAAGTCAATAAAAAGGTTACTTATCCTCACTTATAAAGTCACTTATAAAGACAATATGCATGTGAAGAATGGTATCCATAGTTTTTTTAAATTCAGGAAAACAGTAATGAATACATATGAAAGCACGGGCAAAGTGACTGCGAACTCAAGTTAGACACAACTATTTTCGCAGCCATTATCACGATTAAAAATAAAGGTATTTTACAACAAGTGTGGATTCATAATAGACCTAGTTTAAGCGTAAGTCAAAACTCCCATCCCAGAAAAAAAAGCAAAACAGAACACATGTAGCTAAAAGCGTTTTGTTTCCCTAGTGTAGTTTTGTGTGATTAACATATTTTTACAGTTGATGTCATAGGAACAGAGCAAACTACCGCGAAGAACTAAAAGTTGTTTAGCATTGTCAGAAAGGGTGTTTTCATATTTATATTTACCAAAGGAAAACATACTGTTTTTGCTCAGTTTCTTCCTCTTCTTCTTCTCCAAACAAATAAGGTCAATGACCTGAGCCAGACGTCTGTTACCTTGGTATCTAGTGTTGGGTAATGTTTCAATTTTATAGCAGGAGGGATTTAGACTGCTGTCACCGTATATATGAATGTGCTTCAGAAAGAATTAACAGAGCAGACCATATGCGAAGGTAAACATTATGCATTTTCTTTGCAAATGTTACCTTTCTAGTTTATATCTATTTCAGAAACGGTCTAAACAGCTACCGTCCTGGTAATACAGCAACCGCCAGGTGGCAGCGCCTATAAATTACGCTGCATTAGACGGAGGGAAATTGCTTGGCCAGTGACTGTAGAAACAGCTGGTGACTCAATTTCCTGGAAATTAAACACGGGATCACTTGCCCCCGAGGTCAGATGGACGTGACACGTGGGAATAATTCTGCCGCTGAAGGTTCGCCTCCAGGTGAGGCTGCAATTCCCATCTACCATGTCGCCATCATTCCAGGAAAATACCAGTGGAATGTCAGTCAACGTAAGGCCACAGCAGGTAAATTTTATGGATGACATCATCCGCAGACTACAAATCTAATGCGATAGAGCGAAATAAACTATGGCGGCCAAAAAACAAGATTCCTACATTTTCAAATTTTGATATCATAAACCTTGTAAAACAAGAAATGATACCTATATTGTGCTACGTTTACTGCCAACTATTACAACATCCATTTGTCTCTGAAAAATAAAAGTTTTAATCATGGTACAAATGGTTTTGATTCAGTGAACATCACATACCAAAGGGAATGAAATTCATCACTGCATCAAAGTAAAAGACAAAACAAGCTCTTCATATTTATCTGCCATCCACGTTCTGGCATGACAACAGGCATCTTTGCCCATTTTCGACATGTTGACCACTGTTAGAAGGCAACAAAAATTCTTGTTTTTATTTCCAAAATCAGGCGAAAATTAATGCGCGCTCTGATGTCATCCATAAAATTTACTTGCTGTGGCCTAACCTTTCAGCGTACCAGCACAGGCAGCTGCAGGAGCCCGGGAATAGCAACACCCGTTGTCTCCACTGATTTGAAGTGCCAGCGGCCATGTTTTACAGTGTTAGGAATGCCATGTAAATGTCAGCGCACACTGTTCTAGTGTGAAAGTGTATCTTCAATCTCAGCTCGCCGTGTTAACATTTAAACACACGCCGGAGGATGCGGAATAGACGCGGCAATGACAGATCGAGCAATCAGCATCTCATCCCACAGCTACCAGCTCTCATTGATTGATGGATAGATGCTGCCCGACAGTATATTACCATGTCTATATAGCAATGTAGGTCGATCTGAGAACGTGAAATTATAGAGTCTTATCTGTATTATCCTTTGATGAATCTTACGTAAGATCACATCAAAACATTAGCGTTTTTATCATCGATGATTATTGATCGTTTACCCTGCAAAATCTGTTTTAGTTTTATTAATATAATAGAATATATGCACGCGCCATTCACATATTTATTCAAACATATATTTCTTATAACGAGTTGACATTCAAGAATAGGAGTTTCGGCATAAAACCATTAATTAAGATAGCCCTATGGACATAAATGTAAACATGGACCAGGTCCAGAACACAAAGTGGCAGCAAAAAGCCCGACCCTTTCCACGTGAGTTACAATAACTACAATAAATGATTTTGTGAATAAAAGGACTTGCTTCTCATGTAACATTTGTTGTGCTTAAAACATACATATTGCCAGTGATAATTGATTTTAACGTTTGCGAAAAGTCATACCATCATTCACGTGGACGAATTTCTACATGGATTGTTCAGATGAGGTAATATTTACTACAAATTGATGTTGTCAACCGGGAGTATGTATCTAGATATTTCGAATTACATGCCAGACTCTTAGTTGTGTGTTACTCTAATTGAAATCAGGGGAAAATTTGGCTTTTGGTTCTTCCTGTACCGCGGTGCAGCTTGCATGAATATTCATGCCGGCTCATCAAAGATTTAAAGCACTCCGCTGCCGTGTGAGCTAAATGGTGATAAATGAGGCCTGCAGGGATTGGAAAATGGAGAGACCGAGAGGCCAGCACACAGGCAGGGGAGCGGGGGGAGGAGGATGGAGACATTACGGCGGAGCTTTCTTGAAATAATTCACTTTGGTCGCCAAATTACGTCAGGTCTAATATCTTAGTGGCTTAGCAACTAATGGGTGATTATACTAAAGGTGTGAAAGCCGCCCAATAACTCTGCTCCAAAAGAGAGGGTATTTTTTCATGCTAATATGATTACAGGTGAGAATGGATCGATGTTGAAAGACCAGGGGAGGACGCCATTGCAGAGAGCTACGCTCGTCACATATCTAAACAGTTAAGCTAGAAGCAGGACATTTTAGATAGCAGCAACCAGATCTACAGAGAGGTTGTCGGAGGGTCAAACCAAACATTGCAGGGACATCAGTGCTGCTTCATTATAGCCTAACTAGGACCGCCGTGAAGTAACGTTACACATAAAACAACTGATACTGACGAAGAATTAATGTTCCAAAAAGCAAAGGTTATAAACGGATGTAGCCATCTCCATACATTGATATTCCTCCCACTGTTTGTACATTAATGATGATATTACTGTGTCCTTTGTCGCAATTATATACGAGGGGCAATTCGTTGACTTTGAGCTGTTCAGTGGGACTTCAATTCAATTCAATTCAGCACTACTGTTCAGAAGGAAGAAATGGCGACGTCGTCTGCTAAAAGAGCTACCACCATTGCTGCCACAGTCTGGCGTATTTGAAAGCATACTGGGCACTTTTCAAACGATGCATAATATGGTTGCTTTATGTAAGTCTCAATGATCTCAAACTGCCATTTGGTACACAAACACACACTCGATTCGTGTATTCGGAAAAAGATGATAGGCAATTGAGAGGAACATTACAACATTCGGCCATTTGCTAAGAATTTAGCCTCATTGAATGTGATGATATATACATGCTACCCTAATGTACGAATGTCAGTATTGCTAAGGTATCATCAATTGAAAACGATCAATCAAACAGCAATGCTTCAGGAAATTTGACGAACCCCGAAAAAAACATGGAGGCATTTTTCAGGCGAGAAATATGTTTGATCTCTCTTCGTATCGCCACGATAAAGCAAGAAGAAGCCCACAAGAGGTACAGACGGTGGAAAGGGAATCGCCGCTCCATTACCCTGCAAATTAAGATGGCGGCTTGTGCTACAAAATGGCGGGGCAGTAACGAATGCGCGGTGTCTCATGGGACGTGGATGATATCTTGTGTTAAACCCACAACTTGCAGCAATTGATAACATTTGAAACAAAACCTGGCTAAGAAAAATATTTATATCATCTATATCGTTAGATGTAGTGAATAGTCAATATTTGTAACATTTCATATGGATTCTAATTCTCAGTTACGAATGTCATAAGTCTGCACAGTGGATGATAATGATGATGGAATGTTGTGTATGTGAAGTCTTTGGCAGTCTATATTGTATAAATAGGTCGTGTATAAATAGATCGTAAACATATATCACATATTCAAAAATAAGCCATCACCCTGTATCTATTGTGTCTCTGCAACCACTTATCTGTTTTCTTGTACACTAAAACCTTTTTGATGAGCTTATTAACACCTTTCAGTGATATTTTCAAACTTAGAAGGAGACAGATTAACATATATTCATGGATTGCTCTGGTAAGCACGTACCCCGAAGCTAATACACTACTTCCACATGCTAGTTTGTTGGCAACAATGGGAACTTTCGAAAATGACTTGGCTATCATAGATCATGACTTCTCTATTTTGGCCGACATGATACGACATTAGACAGTCGATTGAATGACGTGTCGGTTGATAGATTGATGCACATTCTCTACTGTACCGATTTATGACGACTTATTTCAAGGTTATGAAGCTTTTCCAATTACGCATCAAGCATCTGCACGTTAGACCCTGTATCCATGTAGTCCCATGTGGGTAGAACATCTGGTACTGAGCTCACGGAACGGCTTTTGACAAGGCTTCTGGTGTGCGTAAAGACAGAGATGCAATGGCGTAAGCCAAATCATCAATAACGTATCTCTACTCTAAGTGATATATTTATCATTCACACAGTTGTTCGTTATTTTTAGTTAAGCCAAAGGCACCTTGATGCCTCGTTTCCTCGTCGGCCCACGCAACGTAAATGACGACACAGGTAATTGGCCTGGTGACGTCATGTAACTCGTAGTTGCCAACATTTGAATTTGATGGCCAATTAGAGTCCGGATGGGTATGACGTCATTCGGTGAAAAGGATTACAGTTAGGCCCCACATCACAGTGTGATCTCCTTCTGTAGAACTCTGTTGGATTTCCCGCGTTATTGTGACAAACCATAGCGGAAATACATGATAGCCAGCTGTAGATGAATACTGCTGGGTACACGTATCAACGCTTGCCTGATATCCATCTAAAATACGCCCGAGGTGACGGTGACGGTGGACGATATAAACTCCCTGGCGCGTTTGATCAATTGCTGGCGTCACGTATCCGTAAACTCTCGTGTGAATAAGGTCACGTGTCTGTAACCGTAACTCTCGCGAGATTACGTTCAGAACTGATTGGTCATCAATTATCCTGATGAAGGCGACAGTGGTCGTTGAAAATTTGATCTCTATGTATCCGTTGTGTTGGAATAAAGTTCAACATTTTACTACATTTGAGGTGGTTGGGAAGAATTTGACCCCACTACTCACTCACGGTCTACACTACAACTGATGGTCTGATGTTTTGAATACAATTTCAAACTTGGTCTATTAGGTTGTAACGAAAGTAATATATCTATACCATTTACATAGCGTTATTCTATATATATAGCTATCACAAGTAGACAATTGAAAAGTAAATCGGTGTGTGTTTGCTGCTACAAGTGGTGGTGGCAACACTGTATCCCTAACCATGCATAGGATACTCAAGAGATCAATATTATCAATCGTAACACTCCTGTGTCACTAACATATATCTGAGAAAGCAGGGAAAAGTACTCACCTTCACTACTACTGGCTTGCTTGACTGGTTGGTGTAGTATCTCTCCACGTATCTGGAGGACAGTAGCCCACTGAAAAAAAACATCAAAAATATGTTCAGCTGTCATCTTAATACTTTCGTATTAAACTTAACAACTTGGCATCCAAATGTCTCTCCCATGCGCTACATCACTGTGACTACATTACATTGTATCATTTAGAACATTAGAAAAATTCGCTCCTTTGAATGTTTTAGACACATTCATTTCACACAGACCCAACCTATAGAGGTGTTCAACATTGCAATGTCATGACGATATCAAAGCTGATATTCAAGAATTTGAAAACCTTAACCTCAAATTACTATATGCTGTTATTTGTTTACTTTATTTAATCTGAGGACGGCTAGGTGGCCCCATTCAGCCTACAATAGCTGTTTTCCAAGGGGGCCCAGCATGTTACAAGACAAGACTACATACAGTAAAATAAAGGAGGACAACATACAGTAAACATAAACACATAAAAGTCCAATACGTCGAAAACAATGCTGTTCAATGCCTATAAACAAAGTCTAGCTGGAGAAATGAAAAATAGATGTGTTTGCTGAGTACATGACATTTTTCATACGCGTTATGATGGTAATAAAGTAAGGCCAAGGCAGTTGTGTTCATCCCAAAACGCATATGTTTACTACTGATAGATTTACTACTCTATGCTCTGGTTGGCTATGCAACATCATGGCACATCACTGACGAGAGCGTGTACAAAATAATCAAAACATTGCTGTAATTGTGAGCACAATCAGACGCACAACTCGCACTATAGCCTCTCCACTGGTAAACATGCCCTCACTGTGCTACATTTGTAGTCTCTAGAACTCACTCCACTGGCAGAACTTTCATTATTATACATACTGCAGTACACATCTGGAACAGTCTTCCAGACAACGTGGTCGGCCTGATCACTGACAACAACATCCAGTCATTTAAAACAAGAGTACACCGGCATCTTCTTTCCACCACCAGAACTTCTACATGTAGCTACAACCTTACAGCTGCTGTAAACCAGTGATTAGGAGTGTTACAACCCAGACTATTGTTTACATTAGCATATGATAGAAACAAATCACATTCTGTATCTGTATCTGTATAGCCGGTATAACCGCCTTTCGGCGTAACACACCAGCTTCGCAGGCACGCGGCGCGGCGGCAGCTGGCTATATTACACCGATCGACTTGTTACACCTAACCCTTGAACTTCTAGCTCTAGACATTGTTTAAAGCTATCTATTGACAATGCCCCTACTGTACTTGGTGACAGTGAGTTCCACTCTGCGATAGTTCTAGGAATGAACTGTCAACGTTCAACATTACCAGTCAACGCAACCACGAGAAAGAGAACCATTATGATGATCTAAAAATAACCAAAATTTGATTTCGCGCAAGATTCGTTTCGTAGAATTCTGATTCAGTAAACATTGGCACCCCGGTGTCCAGGGATTGGTTTCACTGCATCTGTACTGACGGGGTTAGGCACATTGTGCGAGAGAAATGTGATGGCCTCCAGCTCAAGTGTCATAGGAATTCGTCTTTAATCCCTCATAGCACTTGCCACCTACGGAATACGCACTAAAACACATTTCGCAACCCTGCCACTATTAACTCTATCACTAGGGACCTTTGGTTCCGGTAGGATTCAGGAAAAATCACATGTTCGCTCGTAAGTAATGGGACATCATGCTACAGAGGTTATGTTCAGATCACGGCACGGTGAACGAGTTCAATAGTGATGGTAAAGGGGGTTGTTTGCTTTATTTGTTTATTTGAAAGATCTCCATTAGTGAGTAGTACAATGTATACTACACTAGTCTTCCTGGAGTCCAGTATAAAACCTTTAAAACATAACATAACCAAAATAACATAAATATTAACCACCTATATTTAACAACAACAACAATAACATCATTATTGAAAGGGAAAAAAACTAAAATAGAAAATATGAAAATAAAGATGAGAGATCAGAGCCATCAGTAGCCAGAGTAAATTTATATACATGTATATAGTATTACTTAGGTCATAGTGCTACCACCAATTTTGCAATGTGTGGGCCTGTTTGTGTGCGTTTGTGTTTTCAGCCTGTCCTTGATGTGTTTTTGAACGCTGATGGTGCAGATGATTTGGTGTGTTGTGGGAAAGTGTTGTAGGATTTTATGCACCTGTACAAGAATATCTTGTTGTTATAGTATAAGGCTGTAACAAGAGTCATTTTGTCGCTAACGTTGTGTAATATCTCATCTCAACATTGAAATAAATCACTTCGTCAACGTTGACCCAACATTGAACTAAACATCTTATTTTTGCATGATGTTTTTGCACAACTACGCAACAGCAGCACAGTTTTCAGCACCACGGGCATTACGAATACCGATATCCAACCCGACATCAAACCCTGCACCCTAAAAAGCAAATGTAGTCCTGTGCTACGTTAAAACCCTTCGGGACGTCTCAGGGTTAGCGACAATCGGTGGTTGAATGGTTCATGTCATGTTTGCAGACGTGCACTGCATGGCTAACTGTGGTTCTGCGCACATCGAGCAGCTCTGTCATTCCTATTTGACGTGTACAAATGGCCTCTTTGGGAGGTAGATGTATTTATATGGAAGGCAGTGAAGCCACTTTCTGAATGTACTCTTCAAGACCCTTTTATCCTTCGTGGAGAGAGAATATCACTTTTATTTTGTACAAAAGCTTGATTGCCCAGCCTTTGGGGATGTAAATGCATCTGTAACCTCGGGGGAAGCTTGCTTGTTATTCACAAACGGACGAGTGCCCTTCCAGCTACCATTATGGTGGTTCTGCTGCCATTTTTTACACAATGAGTCTGCAGACAGCAAACCATCATCAAGCCTCCCCGGCGTTACAAATGCACCGGAAATGTGGTCTTCACCATACATCCTCAGTCTAAGATGTCGTGTCATACAATCTTTCTGTCATCTGCACCAGGTAGATGTAGCTACGGTCATTTTTAGACGATTTGCAGTCGACTCTTACCCCTACATTGACGGACATTACATCATGGTCGGGTGACTCTATGAATACCAATGCCTGGCAGCACATACGTGAGAGGACTAGTGATGAGGCGGGGCCATGAGTAACAAACAGCCGCTGTGGAGATGTAGGCGTCAGGAATAACACAGTTTAATCCAGCCATGAATCATGACTTACCGTAATGTGGCTGTCCTTGACCACGAAAGGTCCAAACTATTATCTGACAACTCCAGCTGTTAAATGGACGGGATCATATTTATGTCAGGAGCAAAGTTCGCACTGTACCACTTACTGGGTACTAGATTCTTTTTCACGCTGCCAAAAGTAAAATATCTGCAAACGTTTCGATAGTTGCTCTGCTACCTTCCTCTGGGAAATAATATTTCTTCCCAAAAATCGCCAAAATAAAAAACAATCATTGATGTATCAACCTGATGGAATTATTCTAAATATACTGAACCATTTCGGCTGCGAATGCACATATATACATACATATTTCTATCAGTAGAGAAAGATATAAATATGAGAGAACGGAAAGTATCAGATAGAAAGAGAGCAAGCCTAATTCATCACTTCGACATACTCTCATACCCTGGAGCAAAGCATGTAATGTAGGTCATTTGATTTGACGATTAGTACATGTTTTTGTGTTACTACATGCAAGCTTAAGAAGGAAATATGTTTTTAATAAAAATGTTGATTTGCCATATTGTACGACGGATGGAACCAAACACATACGATGTAATCCATCAACAAAACGTATGTTTATAAAAAAATCAAAAATCAAAATCAAATTTTCTTCAGTAAGGCTCTCGCGGGCGAATACCCGAATTACGTCCTTATTACATAGTATATAAAACATTAAAAACAATGATTTGTGACACTCTTCAATGTGCACATGAAACAGCATAGGCGAACACAATATTAAGACATATACGAGACAATTACACAATTAAAATCTATGCATAAGATGCAGTTATAACGAAGAATTTAGCTAGGTACTATATATATAACACTACTGTTGGATTGTCTTGTTATAAAGGCGAACAGCGCAATGGAGGAACGAGTTTATCGGCGCTAGCAAGGGATTTGATGAATACCAGTGGCCAGAAAGTCAGCCACTTTAGGTCAGCAGGGACGTATCTGTGTGTGCCCCATCCAGGCCATGTATCATTGCGGTACGTCTGGACTCTGTCCTCTTATCTGTTTTGACTGGCTCTTGTATCTACATGTTTAAGCTCTGCTAAAGGCTCGCGTACTAACAATAACCTCTGCGGTAACTGATGTTTTGATAATGTCATAAATAACTTACGCTGCCTCTGCTGAGATGTAGTGCGGGATTTTTGACCTTACAGTACTGCACATACTATATTTATTTATATAACATGCATTTTTGGAACACGAATGCTATGATACATGACTACATTGCCAATTTCTGTTTCCCAGTGAACTTCGATGTTATCATGACTGTCAAAGTACGTAAAAGTAAGATGTCCTTAAAAGCGTGAAAATTAACCCAGAATCCATGTCATTTAGTAAGTAACTCAGTAAGCAACATTCGATAGATTCGTAGCGCCATAGTATAGTGGATTGATAGTCTCCCCTTACAGTTCATACATGTAACTATGGGAGTGAGTGATTGAGTGAGTGATTGAGTGAGTGATTGAGTGAGTGATTGAGTGAGTGAGTGAGTGAGTGAGTGATTGAGTGAGTGAGTGAGTGATTGAGTGAGTGAGTGAGTGAGTGAGTGAGTGAGTGAGTGAGTGAGTGAGTGAGTGAGTGAGTGAGTGAGTGTCCTCCTAGTGCCATGAAACTATTTAAGAGAATTCAGTAGATGGTCGATGTGTGAGAAAATTGACCAACAATCGTGTCACTGATATAAAATGTTGAGTCAATAAAGAATCTTTCCTTCTTTCATTCCTTCTTTCTTCCCTTCCTTCTTTCTTCCCTTCTTTCTTTTTCTTTCTTTCTTTCTTTCTTTCTTTCTTTCTTTCTTTCTTTCTTTCTTTCTTTCTTTCTTTCTTTCTTTCTTTCTTTCTTTCTTT